AGCTTCTTGATCTGGGTTTCTCACGTGGACAGCAGGAGTCCAAGTACTTGGACCATATTCCATTACTTTTCCAAGAGCATTAGCAGGGAGCTGGATCAGAAGTGAAGCAACAGGGACTCAAACCACTGCTGATATGGGATGTTGGTGTCACAGGCTGAGGCTTAACCTGTCCCATAGCGCCAGCCCCTAAGACAAATGTTTTCATTACCCAGCCCCCACAAGAAATCCTACACAGCTAGTCATCGCCTCTCGAGGCCCTCCGTTACACAGCCATCCCCTCTCCAGCTGTAGAGAATCACACATCTACTTCCCATCTCTACAGATTTGTATATTTTGAATATTTCATGTGTATGTTACGTAAGTTACTTACAATAAGTGGTCCTTTTTGAATGGCCTGTGTCTGACCTGGAAGAGCAGTTCATCACTGTTGTAGCACAGATAGATATTTCTTTTTGTTGCCAAATAATACTCCCCAGTATGAGCACACCACCCCTTGTGTACTCCCAGTTTGTGGTTGGACATGTGAACTGTTCCCACATTTTCACCATCATGAATAATGCCGATATGAACACTTAGTTGTAAGTTATTACATGGACATATGTTCAGCTATCCTGGGTATACACCTGGGAGGGACTGTTGATAAGATGGCAACTCAGTTTAATCCTTTCAGAGACTGCCAGATCGCTTTCCAAAGTGGCTAATCCAGTTTGTATACCCACTGGCAGGGAATGAGGGTTCTAGTGTTTCCATATTGTCAACAAACATTGCTGTTGTCTTCTTAATATAGCTCTGTTGGAGCACACGAAGTTTTATCTCCTTTTTTTCATTTGCATTTCCTTGATGACTAATGGTACTTAGCATCTTATTGCATGCTTACTGTTTCTTTTCATGTCACATCTAAGGATTTTTTGATTAATCTAAAGTCATATAAATTTGTGCTGACACCTTCTCAAAATTTTATGGTTTGCAACTATTATACTTTTCATCTATTTTCAGTTGCTTTTATATGGTGCAAGGCAGGTGTAATCTTTTTTGTGTTTGTTTATAATGTATTTATTTTCACCTTACTTGAAAGAGAGAGAGAGGGAAACGTGTCTACCTGCTGATTCATTTCCCCCAAATCCTGCAACAACCAGGGCTGGGCCAGGCTGCAGGCAGGAGCCCACAACTTAGTCTGGGTCTCCCCGACAGGTGACAGAGACCCAAGGACTCCAGTTGCTCTCTCCTGTAATGCACATTGGCAGGAAACTGGGACAGAGGGGGAGGAGCCAAGACTTAAACCAGGCACTCCAGTCTGGAATGGTGGCATCCCAAGTGATGTCCCAGCTGCTGCACTGAAGGGCCACCCCTCCAACTCATTCTTGCACTCATTTATTGAGAAGTCTTTTTCCCCATTGAATTTTCTTAGGAAAAACTGAATGACCACTAATGTCAGAGTTCTATTCAAATGATCCCTATACATATTACAATACCACACTTTCTTAATTACTAAAGTTTTGTATCAAGTTTTGATCGGGAAGTGGGAGTTTTCCCACATTTTCAAGCTGTTTTTGCCTAGAGTCGATCCCTCGAATTTCCAGATGACATAACTTTAGGTTCAGTCTGTCAATTTTAGCAAAACCGACAGCTTGAGTTATGATGAAAATTGCACTAAATCTGGAGATTGGAGAAAGTATAAAGTCTTCTTAATATTACATATTAAATATATAAATATAAAATTATATAGTATGTGACAATTGCTAAATATTAAATAAGTTTACTTATAAACATTTGAATTTCTTAATATTAAATTTTCTCATACATGAATATGGAAGATCCTTCTATGCCTTTAGGTCTTCCTTAATGTCTTGCAAGTGTTTTGTGGTTTTGAGAAAATAAGGTTTACACTTCTATCAAATCTATTTGTAACTACTTGATTTGTTTTCGTTCTTTCTTTCTTTTTTTTTTAAAGCTTCGTTTGTTGTTTGACAGGCCAAGCGACAGAGGGGCAGAGGAAGGAAGACTTCCCACCGGCTGGCTCATTACCCACATGATCACTATGGTTAGGTTGGGGAGATGTTCTATTCATGTCATTTGCAGCTGCTCATTGCTAGTGCGTGCGTGAAGAAATGCAATTGGCTTTCACATATTGATCTTGTTTCTGCAACTCTTTGGCCTAATACTAATTTAAATGGGTTTATAACAATTCCTTGGAATTTTCAATACATAAGATCACATTATCTATAGAAATAGTTCTGCTTCTTCATCAAAAATATGGAAGCCTCGGGCCCAGCGCGGTGGCGCAAGTGGTTAAGTCCTCGCCTTGCAAGCCCGAGATCCCATATGGGCGCCGGTTCTAATCCCGGCAGCCCCGCTTCCCTTCCAGCTCCCTGCCTGTGGCCTGGGAAAGCAGTCGAGGATGGCCCAAAGCTTTGGGAACCTGCACCCGCGTGGGAGACCCGAAAGAGGCTCCTGGCTTCGGATCGGCATAGTATCGACCCGTTGCGCTCACTTGGGGAGTGAATCATCGGACGGAAGATCTTCCTCTCTGTCTCTCCTCTTTGTATATCTGCCTTTCCAATAAAAAAAAAATAATAAAAAAATAAATCTTTAAAAAAAAAACAAAAAAACAAAAATATGGATGCCTTTCATTTAATTTTCTTGCCTATTTTCCATGGCTAGGAGGACAACACAGGTCCAAGCATAGGTGAGCTGCTTGGCTCCTATTGAAGAGGGCACTCCAAAGGGCTTGTGGGAAAAATGAAATTAAAAGAAAAACTTTAGGTTAGGTGTCTGATGCAGCAGTTAAGACCCCTCTTGGGATGGTCACATCCAATGTTACAGTGCCCGGTTTTAAGTTACCTCTCTGTTCCCAATTCCAGCTCCCTGCTAATAATATGTACCCCTTGGGAGGCAATAAAAGATTGCCCTGTGTCAAAGACCCAGACCAAAATCTACCAAGTTCTTGGCTCCTGACCAAGTGCTCACCAGCATTTGGGAATGAACCAGCAGAGAGGAGAGTCACTCATTCATTTATTCATTCATTCATTCATATTCTCTCTGTCTCTGTGTTTCTGCCACTGTATTTCAAATGAAATTATTACTATTTTTTTTAATAAAAAAGAATCCTTTCTGCCAAAGGGACCTGGAATAGACCATCCTTTAAAAAGAAGACACTTTTCTTTTGGCACAAAAACTGTTGGAATTGGTGCATTTGAAACAAAACAAGCTTTTCATGACTTTTTGAGTACCTATCATGTGGATGGATTTTCCATGAACTTTTTGAAGTATCTTCCTGTTGCAAAAGTCAGACAGCAAGCCAAGGTAGATACTAGCAACTCCTAATATCTCCAGGATAGTAAGTCTGGTAAGTCAATGAGGAGCACCTGAAGACCCTCAAAGCCCATCATGAAGGGCAGGTGCTGTGCCGCAGGTGCTTAAACCTCCTCTTGGGACAGCTGCATCTCATAATGGAGAGCCCAGATGGTTGGAATTCTGTCCCCAAAGCTCCCAATGCAGCTTCCTGCTAATGTACCCTGGGAGGCAGCATGTGATGGCTCAAGTGTTTGGATCCTTGCCATCTGCATGGAAGATCTGCATGGGATTTCTGGCTGCCAGTCCTGGCCTGGTCTACCGCCAGCTGTTGGGGACATTGGGAAGTGAATAGGTGGGTGAAAGATCTCCTATTTTTTCATTCTTACTCTGAAATGCACTGCACCAGCATCCCATCAGGCTGGGATGGGAGTCCTGCCTGGTTTGAGTCCTGGCTATTCTGCTTCCTATCCAGCTTCCTGCAAGTTAATCCAGACGGGCAGTGGAATATGGCCTCAGTGCGTGAAACCCTGCCATCCAGGTGGGACACCAAGATGGAATTCCTGGCTTTCGGCTTCACCATGGACCCTGACCCAGACCATCTCCTTTGGGGCATGAACCAGAAGATAGAAGACCTCGCTCTGGCTCTCTGTCCATTTCCCTCTGTGTTGCTCTGCCTTCCAAATAGCATTTTTAATATAAAAGACAAATATGAATAAAGTTTTCAGAAACACCACTGATGAAATGTTCGACTTTGCTAGTAATCATACAGTCATACTAGAACATCATTTCCACCTGCAAATTAGCAAACACTTATTTAAAGTCAAACTATTCAATGCTATGGATGGTGTGACACAGCAAATCTGCCAGCAGTGCGGGTCGGGTACCCTTCTGGCTGTTCACATCCCTCGCTCCCTTCATAGTAGGCCCTGTCACCCTCATGTTGCAGAGCCAGAAATTAAGACATTGCAGCTGTGCTGCGCCCAAGCCCCATTTCCCCATCCCCCACTCACTCCTCCGCCAACGGTGTACTTGCCTGTGGCGCCATCCAGTTCCAGGGCCGGCTCCGGGAACCCACTGGAGGAAGACAGCCATACACAGCTGTTTCTTGTACAGCACAGGTGAATCGACAATGCGTCATAATGTGACCGGGGTGCAGGAACAATGCCAGCTCATAATGCGCTCCCACGACAAGGACACTCACAGCGATTTTTCTAGTCAGGCCCGCTGCGATTGTTACCGGCCACCTTGCGTTTCTGTTTCCGCCTTCTGGGGTTAAAGTTAAGGTTCTCCTTTGCTGTGTGTTGGATGCTGGGTCCCCAGAGCAGTAGCCCGGGGGCGGTCGGAGCTGCTAGCAGTACCGGACTAGGTGTCCTGGGCCGGCTGGGGTCCCCCGAGGCGCCTGAATCGCCCGGCAGGGTTACTAAAGTCCAGGAGCACACAGCCAGTGGCGCGGCCCCCTCCCGGGAGGCTGCGGAGAGCCAGAAAAACCGAGCTCCAGCCCCGGGACGGCCTTGGCGCTCAAGCCTTTTCAATGGGCAGCGGTGGGCAAGCAGGAGCCAGGATGGGAAGACTAGCAAGCGGCATAGCTCCTGCCTGCTTCATCTGGCGCCGCAAGGCGGGCAGAAGGCCTCTCTAAAGGTCACCGGGAATCACCTGGAGCTCAGGTGGGCCGAGGGGGTAGGTAGCCCGGCTGCGGGTGCGAGAGCATGGTCCTGGGTGACCAGGATCTGGAGCTGGCGGTGCTGTAACTCTGTCAAATGACCCCAGGAGGGCCTGGAGGGTTGGTGTCCCTGAGTGGTCCTTGCCCTTTCTTGTTCATCTCTGCCATCAACCCTAGCCCCATCGAGGAATCCAACCATAAGGGCTACTACCAGCTGTTTGCTGCGGCAGTGGGCGACGTGGAATGGCTGCGGTTCTGCTTGGATCAACACTGCGGAGATATCCAGGCCAATGACAAGGTGAGGCGGTGCAGAGCAGCGGCAGGGACAAGGCTTCCTCCTCCCCGCAAAGGGCTTCTACAGCAGGTAGCTGGTCACACTAAGTGCTTTCCGCTGTAGGTTTTCCCTTCCGGGGGGGCTTTTACAGCAGGCAGCTGGTCACACTAAGTGCTTTCCGCTGTAGGTTTTCCCTTCCTGGGGGGCCTTTACAGCAGGCAGCTGGTCACACTAAGTGCTTTCCGCTGTAGGTTTTCCCTTCCTGGGGGCAGGACAGAGCAGAAGGGTGCCCTCATGAAGTTCCTGCAGGTTTGTGGCCCCGGGACAAACCTGGCTCAGCCTGCTGCCCACTTGGAACCCCACAGGGCTTTGCTGCTATCCACATGGCAGCCCAGAAGGGCCAGCTTACCTGCCTGCAGGTCTTGGTGGAGGAGTACAAGTTTCCCGTGGACCTGCCCACCCTTGATGGAGAGACAGCCCTGCACCTGGTCATCCACAAGGACAACAAGGCCGTGGCCCTCCAATGCATTCACTACTTGCTCGATAAAGGCGCAAGCCTCCACGCGTGAGTCCACTCTGGAGGGAGGTTCGGAGCCTGGGCACACAGGAACTCCAGTTCTGGGCAAGAAGATCCACGCAGAAGAGGCCAAGGCTTGGGTCCCACATAAAGCCGTCAGTGAGTCCCCATGGTACAGTGGTAAAGATACTGTGCTTTGGGAGAGGACCCAGACTTGCTGGCAAAGTGACCCAACCTCTGGTTCCCAAACTGATTAGAACACCTGTGTCCCATTGGGTTTGTGATGCTGTGATGGGGTCTGAGCTCTTTGAATCTTCATGAGCCACATGTTTCTAACCTGTAACTAAGTTTGGAAACTGCTTCCTCAAAGTCATGTGGAGCTGGGGAGGATGACAGTGCCCACCAACATGGCAGCACCAGGATTGGTGGATGCACAGAGCCGCAGGACAGAGGTTGGAAGTGCAGCAGTGGGCACCCACAAGTGGGTCCTGCCCTTGGGCAGCACTAGCACAGGCACAGACAGAGCAAGGTAAGGGGTCATAAGTTGGACTTAACAGGTTGCTAGATGGGAAGTGAAGGGAGTTGGAGGAACTATCCTGGAAGGTGTAGAATATTACATCAGAGGAAGTGACATTCAAGTTGCAACATGAAAACTGAGCACGAGCTGGCCATGGAGAGACGAAATGTTCCAGACAGGGGAACATCATATGCTAAGAGCATGTGCTAGGGAAGAATTGGGCAAGGGCAGAAGATGAGGTCAAGGAGCAGGGATGCAGACCTTGTGAGCCATGGCCAGGCATGGTAAGGGGTGCAGGGCTGGTGGGTTTTAGACCATGGTAGTGGTCTCTGGGCCAACCTAGCTCTCCTTCAGCAGTTCTGCATGGTTACATGCATGCTAGAGCTGATTTTGTCCAATCTGTCCCCCTATGATAGAGGTACTAAGAAAAGGCAGGACATAGCCAGAGCTGCCCACTGGACTGGAACAGAATGGGGCCTGAAAGCTGTTGCACCCACCTGACCACCTGGCAGATACCCTTGTCCTTTCTTTCTGTTCCCTTCCCTACTGGTCTGGTTTCCAGTCGGACATGCAGTGGCTCCACGCCCCTGCACCTGGCAGCTTCTGAGGGCCTGCTGAGCTGTGTACAGACCCTGGTTCAGAGAGGTGCCAATGTCCACGCCCAGGACTCCATTGGATGCAAACCCATTGACTACTGCAAAATGTGGAATCACCGCCCCTGTGCCCGGTAAGTGTGAGACCCACCAGCAGTCTGTCCACCTTTCCTCTCTCCCAGGGCTTTCAGAGGGTGTGGAGAACTAGATCCCTGGGGATCCATTGCTGCCACCTGCCCAGGATGATACTGGCAGGGCTTTCCCCAGGGTCCATCCCTTTGGGCTGAGTGTTATCCTCCCTGCCAGCTCTGGGACCCCTGACACCTGAAATGAAGTGCCCAAGGAGTCACACAATGAGGATGGGACATCTTTCTCACTTCAACTCTGGCAGCTCTCTCCGCCCCTAGCCAGACCCTCAGCAGCAATCCCTGTAGTCCCCTTGGGGTGATGCATCCTCACGCTGGCACAGGTTCTTGAAGGATGCCATGTGGAAACAAGACAAAGATGACTTTGCCCATGAGATGGGGAAGCTGAAGAGGCTCAAGAACCAGTTGGGCCTCATGAAGCTGGACTACCTGGCCGAGTACCAAGTAAGGGGTAGGCTTTATGGAAGGCATGGGGACAAAGCAAGGCATGGGGAAGTGGCAGGGGTACCAGGTATCAGGGCACTGAAGCAGAGGAGACAAAGAGCCACATGAGGTGACAAGATTGGTTTAGAAGCACTAATGCTGAGAAAGGGCTCACTGCTTGCCTAGACTCAGAGAAATACCACCTGTTACAGTAAAACTCTTGTCCTGGGTTAGTTACAGCAAAGCCCAAGGAAACTGCCTCCTGCAGAGTGAAAGGTTCTTGGGAGACCAAGGCCCGGCCTCTAACTGGGACTCACATTCTAGTTAAACAGAGACCTGTCCTTCCTCCCAGAACACACTTAACACTCTCTCTGTGCTAGTACCTGCTAGGTCCTGAGGCTTCTAAGATAAACAGGGCAGCTTTGTTCCATCCACAGCCCCCATCCCCTGCCACCCCCAGAAGTGGAGGGTGATCCTGAAAGGTACAGGAAGAAATGGTACCCAAGGGGCAGTCTTTCCAGATGGGCAGTTGGTCACAGGAAGAACTAGGGAAGGGCTGATCAGCCCAAAGGAAGAGAAAGCATTGAGGTGCATAGGAGCATGATGTGTGCAGAGAACTGCCAATTTGGTGCATCCAGAGGATCAGACCTGAGCTGGAGATTTGGCAGAGGATAAAGAAGCAAGGGGATTTTAAGCAGGTTTAATCACATGGTGTAAACCCCAGAAAACCAGGAAGAAATGCTGGGAATATCAGTAGATCCCAAGCTAGGGAGGCCTCCAGGGCTGACAAAATCAGTACTCTAACTCCCCCTAAGCTGTACCAGTTCCCGGACCCTCCTCTGCTGCCCACATCCCCCAGCTATTGTAGTCCTACACATGTCTGAAGGAGGTAAAGTCCATCTCTTTCCTGTGGCTCTAACCTCACCCAGCTGTCCCAGGAAGGTCCTCCCTTCCTCTCGTTGGTTTCAGTTGAATCATGTGCCCATTCTTGTTCCAATAAGAGTAGAACTGAAAGAAAGCCATATGCTGATTGTCTCAGGTCTGGGACAAAGCTGATGGAATTATGTTGATTGGCTTAGTCTAATCAGAAGCTGCCCCTGGCTCAAGGTCAATCTCCAAAACACCAGATTGTTTGATTTGGGAGTGAGACACTGAGACACTGCTTGTGGGGAGAGGGCTGGAGCCATTTGGTAACAACAGATGGAAAGTTGAGCTCCAGCAGAGGCAGGGACAGAGCTGGGTCAACCTGGAGACCCAGCCAGCTATTCACTTTGACTTGACCCCCCGGCACATCATGTCCAAGAAGCCCATCCAGACTGGCTCAACTCAACTCCAGGCCTTTCAAACCTTTCAGTGCTTCTCCTTCCAGTGTCAAGGATACAGCCTACCCTTCTCATTTGCTCCCCCTCACCCCACCCTGAATCAAAGCAGAGCCTCCCTCACAGCAGGATATATATCCTGTCAGACTGGGACTTCCTTCCCCTAAAATCTGATGTGCTCCCTTGGGCATGGATTGTGTCCTCCAGCCAGAGTCTCACGTGGGGCAGAGGTTATGTCTCCATCAGGCTGGAGATCTCCCCTAAGGGACAACAGCCCAGGAGTTGCCTCCTGTGGAGCAAAGATGGTTTACATCAGAAGGGTTTCCCCAAGGGCAAGAATGCTATCTCACCAATAAGGCCTCAAGTTCAAGGTCTGGCCACACAGAGGGGCAGCCCTCCACCCCTGTTTTGGGCCCTCTGTTGCTGCAGAAGGAACACAAGTTTCTGAAAGAGATGGACTTCCGGAAGTGGCTCCGCTGCAGGCTGTTCAACCAGCGCCACTCTCTGCTCTCCAAAACCAAACAAGTGACTGGTACCCCAACCCGCACCATTGTACTCCCCAAGACCTCGAAATGGCAAGGCCCACAGACTCCCCAGGGCACCCAACCCAGGGTGAAGTTACAGCTTAGAAGTATACAGCCACGCACTGGGCAGGTGCCATCCAAGCCAATCTACCAGCGGCCTTTGTTCAAGCGACCCAAGCTTTGGAATCCTAGCAACAATCCTGCCAGGTCCCCTTCAGCCCAGTTCAGCTACCCCCAGGGCGTGCGCCTGGGCATACAGCCAGACTCCTGCCAAAAGCAGGACTTTAGCAGCTTCCTGGACGTGATCCCTGGCCCCAGCGGCTGCACATGGCTGCACAGAGCCGATGGCCACTGGGTGGCGCCTGTGCCCCAGCTGCCTTTGGAGGTGATAATCCGGGAGCTGTACCCACAGAGCCAGCCGTGCAGGATGCAGGTGCCCCAGGGTTTTCATGCTGTCAACATTAAGGATGTGCCCCACAAGCGGCACTCAGACAGTCGTGCCTTCTACAATGACACACTAGCTATGAGCTTGCGCCAGACATTTGATGAAGCCTTCCTGGCTAATGTGCGAGCCCATCAAGGGCTCCCTGCCCTGCCAGCCCCTACAACCCCTCCATAAAGTTCTTTCACTGGCCTGTGGACCAGAGGCAGCCCAATGAAGGCTAAGGTGTACTGATTCATGTTGTGGATGGGAGGAAGAAGGTATGCCCATGTGCTTTCCACTCCCAAGCTCAGGGACAGGATGATGTCCCTACCTATACCCCACCCTCCCCTACAAACTCCCCTCTATAAAAGCCTAGACCTCAGACCTCCTCTTTGCAGTCTCTTTGGCCCTAGGAAATCCAACTTACAGCGGACCCCAAGGTTCAGGGTAGGAGTCAGCCAGGGTCCTGAGCCCCCTAGCATAATCAAAGGTGGTGCTCTGGCACCTCCACAGCCATCCCATCCTGGCCCCAACCCAGCAAGGACAAGGTTTCCAGGATGGCTGCAGGCTCCAAACTTCACTGTTCTTCTGCAGCACCAGAGTTGCATGTGAGACACCATGGCAACCTGCTGTGGGCCTCCTTGCTGCCACTGAGCTCGGGGCAATGTGCCAAAGTCTAGGGAACACCTGCAGCTTCAGTCTGAGACTGGAGAAGCACCTGCACTTCTAGGCAGCTCCCCCAAGCCCTGCAATCCCATGCACACATCACTGCAACTCATTTGATAAACAAACATTTATTGAGTGCTTTTCATGTGCCAAGCACCAGCCAAGCACAACTGATACAAAAAAATTCAAGGCATGTCCCTGCCCTCAAGGAGCGTACAGTCTAGTGGGGATGGACAGGTAAGCAGGCAAGTGAGCCTACAGGGACCTGTGTGGTGTGCTGGCGTGTGGCTGGGGGACAGGGTATAGCCAAAGCTCCTTAGAGGAAGGAAAGTTTAAATTGAGATATGACAATGTAGTGACCTCAAGAAAAGCGACTTTAGAGTGGCAAGGGAATGCCATGGCCTCTCCGGACGCAGGAGCCTGCAGCCAGAGTGGAGAGCCACTGATGGGGCTGAAAGGTAGGCAGGGACCAAGACCTCAGTGTGCTCTCAGCCATGCTAAGGGATCTGGACTTTATCGTAAGGGCAGCTGGGAGCACAGAAGGTTTCTGGCCAGGGAGTGACTTCGTTAACTGGGTACTTTAGAAAGACAGTTCCAACCATGGATAGAGAAACAGCAGGAAGAAGCCGTAACAATAAACCAAGGGAAAGTAGACATTGGGAGTGGCTCAAACCAGGAGATGGTGAGATGGAAGACTCAATAGTTTTCAAGATTGGATGTCAAGAGCAGAAAGACAATGCAGGCCTAGAAAGCAGGTTTCCTGCCAAGCTCAAGTGACCTTAGCGGTCAAGACAGGTGCCCAAAAGGGGCAACTGTGCCATCTGGACCATGGACTAGAGTTGTATGTGTACCCAGACAATGGCAGAACTGTAGGTCAGGAAAAGATGCAGGGACAGGAAGTCAACCCTCAATTTCTTGAAGTCCTTGAAGCCACCAGCATGGATGGGCTTTCCTGGGGTGACCATGACAGAAATCTGAGACCTCAGTGTGTACAGGGTGAGTGCAGAAGAAATGGCAAGGAGCCATGGGAGCTCAGGAGTCACTCAGATGGGACACGGGAAAGTGGGCTGAGCACATAAAGCAAAGAGCCTCCAGCAAACTCAGGGCAGTCATTGCAAACAAGAGGACCAGGGACGAGGGCGCATGAGGAACAAAGTAAGCAGCAAGGGAGAGCAGGGACAGTGGTGAGGAGGACATTGGTCTCCAGCATCCTCTACTTTATCTGTCCTTGCAAGTTTTATTAGCATGCAGAGACCAACATGAGCAAGTCCTCTCAACCAAAGGTGAGAGCTGGTGTTTTTTAAGAGAATGGAAACTGACACCAAGGAAATGATGTGACTTCATACAGGATGCAGAGTTTCCAGCACATGGGTTTTTCCTAGTGGCTCAATGGGACACATGTGCAGTTCACCTGTGCACCTGCCAATCTTGAGGTATGGGAGGTAGCCAGTAATGGCTCTTGTGGGAACTGCATTCCAGTATGTAGAGTTGAACACTTGCAAGGCACTATAGTTGGAGTACAAGGTCAACAAATGCCGCTCTGTGCCCTGGAGCTCTTAGAAGGCACAGGTTATTTCCCCAGGAGCCAAGACAAAAAGACAAGATCAGATCTTGTGTGCTCTTAAAAATACAAACAGCTTCTCCCCTCAGTCCCAGTTCTGTAAAAATAGGCTATAAACCAGGCTGCAATTCAGCCAGAAACCACCCTGTTCCCCAGAGAATGACTTATAAATAGTACATTGTGATGCTCTGAGCATCCAGCCTGGTCCTCACCGTCCCATCCCCTCCCCTGGCTGGAGAGTCACAGAGCCTTGGGGGAAAGAAGAGACAGCAAGAGAGCGAGGAGTGTCAGAAGGCTGCTTTCACTCATTCCCCACTCGCCAACCAGGCTCGGCTTCTCTCTGTCCCCTTCCCACTCAGCACCAATGGACAGTCCCTTCAGAAGGGCAAGCCCAAATCCAGAAAGGGTGTCCCTGGAGCAGCCAAACTAGGCCAGTCAGGGCAGGTGAGCAGGAAGAAAGAAGATGAACTTCAGGATATTAAGGCAAACAGTGCCACCTAGAATCTTTATTCAAACGGGAATCAGCAAATGGACAGAAATCACAGTTCAACAGTAGAGACTCTTTCTCTTGGAAGTGGCAAGCCCTGACCCCTCCCTTTGGCCATCTGTCCAGAGCACTTGTTACCGTCCGCTCTCCAGCCTGCCTGCCCCGGCTGGACCAGAATTTCCTGACCCACCTCAGTCTCTTAGCCACACAGACTTTGCCCCCCTCCTTGGTGCCCTTTGATGTTACAGTCTCCAGCAGCATCGGATCCGAGCCAAGCCAAGCCCCAAGGAGGGTGGGGATGGGGCTGCAGCTGCGAGGAGAGAGAAGCCAGGCCTGGGGGAAGCTGCCTGCCAGCTCCCAGCCCTGACCTAGCCAGAGCCCCAGAGGCCTGACTCCCCTGAGCTGGCTACCACAGCCCCTCCCCAAGGGGGTCAGTATATCTTCTGACGACTGGGCAATATGGCCTCTTTGATGAAGGAGAAAACAACCAGGATGCCTAAGCGTTTGCCCCGCTTGCCTTTGGTGAAGTAATTGGAGACCACGTCATCTGTGGAGACACAGGCAGGGAGATGAGTGAGTATGGGGCTCTGTGTGTGTGCGCGCGCGTGTAAGTGCACAGGTGCACGTATGGGAAGATGCACTCAGTTCTCCCAAGCCAGAGCCCAGCTGTCCACATCCCAGGCCGAGATTCCATGCAGCTCTCCGGCTCTCAGGCCGTGGGGTGGGGAAGGGGCCCACCTCCGTCCCTTACACACCCCTGCTCACCTCCTGGCTGCATGGTAGAGGGCAGGACGTTCTCCCCAGCCGAGAGTGACACAAAGAATGCGAACGGGATTATCCACAGGCAGAAAGTAAAGTAGGCCAACACCTGGCAACAAGAGAGCCTGAACAGAGGGGGCCCGGAGGTGCCAGAGAGGGCAGGGCATGGTTCCTGTGTGGCTCAGAGAAGTGCCAACGAGTGCAGGGAAGGCCGCACCCCCAGTCTCTCAAGGGAACAGGGCATGGTAGGCAGGGGCAGGCCATCCTTGCACACGGAGATGGCCCTGTGGGCAAAGGCGGAGGCTAGGGACGGCCACGTGCAGCCGCCATCCCCAACCAGGGGAAGTGGAACAACCAGGACAGACATTTCCTCAGGACGGAAGGATATAGATGGAGGACTTCATGACAACTGACCCACATTCCTCAAAAAAATGATATTGTTCTTCCCAGAGTTTCAAACTGAAGCAGCAGGGCAAGGCATAGGGAGAACTCCTGGAGGCTGCTAGGAGTTGCTGGGACTCAGGGCTGCACTCGACAAGGCCACCGCAAAGCCCCTTCCTGACTTTGCCATGACCCCCCAGAAACTCCAAAGAGCTCGTGGCTCATGGCAGGACAGCAGTGTTTTCCCAGCTTCGCCGCCAGCTTGGCTAATTTTGTTTTGCCTCTAATGCAACTCCAGATGACACTGGGCTCCAGACCATAGTTAAGCTTGCAAAGCAATCCTTCTATTCCTCCCTTCTATTGCTGGTTCAGGAGGAAGGCTGAACGCATCACACGCTTCTTACCTCTGAGAACGGATAATACTCTTCTGCAAAAAACTGAAATGCTAGGTAGTGATTCACCACCACGAGCCCTGTTAAGGGAATGGAGAGTCAGTTGGTCAGTTTGTGAGGGTAACAAAACCAAGTTTCCAAGCTGCCCAAGGCCTCCAGGGACTGGGGGCCCTGGCTCTTCATCCCAACTTCCTATCTAACTTGGAGTATGGCTTTGGGCCAAGCACACTACTGTCTAGATCTGTTTCCCATATGTTACAATCAGAGAATTGGTTCTGACCTGCTCATGGCAGGAAGGCGTTCCAAGTAAAATTAGAAGGCTGGTAAGAAAGCTGCTTTGCATGTTAGAAAAATGAGACTCCCATGTTACATCATCCAAAGCATCGTGACAATGCACCTGGTTTGCAGCAGAAGTGAGTCCTAAAGAAAGCTCTCCATGGGCAGACGGCAGGTGCAGGGAAGGTGAGGGTGTGTGGATGGGATTCACACCCGCCGGGGAGCAGGCACTCAAAAGGCAGGGCCTGTGGGAGGTGCTGAGGTGCAGTGTGAGGGCAGGGGTTCTTCAGGCACACTGGTCTGAACTCTTAACTATGGAACACACACACTCCTGAAGCGTGCAACTGAGTGTAGTGCAGCCCACTCCCACAGTGAGGTGGAGCGCGGCATTAAAGAGCATGCCCCCTGAGGTTGAGCCCCTCATGGCAATTCTGTCCCTCTCTCCCTCTTTTAAGGCACAGGCCACACACTGCTGAGCCCAAGCACCCCTGGCTAAACAAAATGGCAAGAGAAGTTGGTTCAGAAAAACAGGGCTGCAATGGACAGCACAGGGTCCATTCCTGAGAGGTATAGAAGGGATCTGGGCTCTCGGGATGGTTCCTCTGGTGACATCATGTGAAGGAACTCTGTGTGAGACCAGTTCCGGTCTGGACACCAAGCACTCCCGGGAATAACATTCGCTTCCTAGCTTCTCCCACCAACACAGGAGAGCAGCTCTAACAAATCCCCACTCCGATAGCCTGCCCTGTGGCTAGGATTACCAGCAGTGAGACCAAGAAACGACAGCGCTGGGAATTAATTACTTGCCCATACATTTTCCACGAGTGTCAGAAAGTACCTGTGGTCACTTCCTGGGTGCCACAGGCTGCCAGCAGCCCTGGCAGGAACATCACATTGAACAGGTGAGAGCAGCTCAGGCCTAGCAAAGGGAAACTACTTCCCGGGGACACAAAGGAGTGACAGGACAAAGGCAAAAAGGGCTAGGTCTTCCCCAACATGCTGTTCCCCCAAGGCCGCCACCAAACCAGAACAATGGACCTGGGCAGGGCAGGCCCTGTCTGCAAGGGCTTCCAGCCAGCTGAGGCCCGAAGCCGGTCTCAGGCATGCTGTGGAGCTGGGGGACAGATGCCTGCCAAGGAAGGGCTCTGGGTTTTCTGCCGGCCGAGCGGCTTCTCTGGGGCTGCAGCTGCTTCAGCCGGCTCCTGCTTGACCCAACCCCCAGCGCCTTCATTCTCAGCCCAGACTCAACCTTAGCTCTCTGGGAAAGCCCTCTCTGACTCCTCCCTCCCCCCAACAGACTCTAGGCATGGAGCAAAGACAAGGTAGGCTTGCCAGGGCCTCCAAAACCAGAGCTCCATTTGCCCAACGAGCCCAGCCTCTCAGGGGACCTCAGTGGCTTCTCTCCCTGCGCCATACCCCCTTCGGTGCCCGGGACTAAGTTGGGCACATCCAAGTGTGTCAGCTGCCTCCCCAGCCCCGTCCCCTCTCACCGCAAGACAGAATGAAATTGGGCGAGGTGAGCATGATGAAGGGGAAGGTCTGAAGGAGGCCAAAGTAGACTAGGTTGGTGAAGAGACCCACGCCGATCATGCTGGTGGGGAAGCGCTCAAAGACGTACAGGCCGATCAGCACAGCCGTGGAGAACTGCAACAACAGAGGCACATGCGTGTGTATGGTAGCCCTTCCCGACACCCTCCCTGCGCTCACCAGCCCGTCTGTGCGGGGCAACACCCAGGACACCTGTCAGCCTCTGGGGTGACAGAGCTCTGGGCTCCCACCACAGGGCACCATCCTTCCATAACATTTGTCAACATTTTCTTGCCAGCAAACCCACCATCAAGAAAACACCTGACCACAACACACACAGATGTTAATGATCAGAGCTCAAAATCGACAGTTTTTTCTACCCTACACGAGGACCCAGCGGAGGTCCCTGGTACGTCACCATGAGGAACTGAGCAGGAGCGGGGAAGACACCACTTGCGGAGAGGGGCCAGGGAAGCTGTGGGGGAAGGAGGGCAGCCCCGCAAGATGGGGTACAGGCCAGGGCTGCAGGAGGTCCCTTCAGGAAACAGTATGGACGCCACACTCTCTCAGCATCCAGCTTTCTGGGCAGACCAAGGGTCGGGGCAATCCTGGCAAAGGCCAACACTTACCCAGATCATGTATTTTATGATCCTGCTGGTGGCCACGGTGTATTCTTCTATCAGCTCTGCCAGGTAATAGAGTCCTGCCGCTGAGAGCCGGAGGGGAGGAGCAGGCAGGGAGAGCATCAGCCAGGGTCACTCCCCAACCCACTCCACCCTGACCATCCTTCTCTCACCACCCAGAATCCTTTGGGGGCCCTTTGTGGATTCCGAAAGGTCAGCAATAAACTGAACAGCCCAGGCGAAACTTTGTCCTGGCAAACTACCAAGTGGTTCCATATAAGTGAATGGAGCAGTAAGCCTGCGTCTGACACCCCAGCACACCTGGCTAACCTCTAACCTCCACCCCGTAAAGCAAACACATGCCTGCAAGGCATTTAGGACAGGCCAGGTACTAGACTGGGTGCTGAGAAAACCACAGAACAAGACAGACCAGGTCCCTCGCTGCCGGCCTGGGCCTGGACAGCCAGCCTGACGTGTCCCGGGGTGAAAATGCTACTGCAGGGCAAGTCCAGGGACGCTGCTGGACCCCCCAGCCCGCTCCAGGGGGGCTTGCCGGAGGAGAAGAAAGCTCCATGGGAGCGGGCAGGATGAGGGAGCAGTGTCCCAGGCGGAGGAGCAGCAAGTGCAGAGGGGCGGAGGCGAAAAGGCAGCAGCCGGGGTGAGGGGGAGAGGGGTGGGCAGTCTGCGCCGCCGGCAGCAGCGGTTGACGGTTCGCGGGCACCGGCTCGGCCGGACTTTGTGACACCCACAGCCAGGCGGGATTGAGGGAAGGGCAGGATGTGGCGGGGCGGTGCAGGCCCGGGGCGGCGGGCAGGGCGGCTCCCCCCACGCCGGAGAACCCCGCGATGCGACTCCCCGGCGACTACAGATGGCCAGGGCGGGAGCCCGCGCGGGCCGAAGTCGCGCACTCTCACCGACGGCCAGCGTGATGAAGGCCACCTGGATGAAGAGCGACAGCCAGCTCAGCACGTACATGAACCACATGGCGCCCCCAGCCCGCCCGTTCCCCCCCGGCCGCCGGGACCGGCCTGCACGCTCGGGCTCCGGCGACACGGAGCCGCCACCGCCGCGTCCCCGCCCCGCCGACGGCCGTGCGCCGCCGCCGCCGCCGAGAGCAGCCCGGCCCGAGCGCCCCGGGCCCTGCCCGCAGCAGCGCCGCCCGCCGGCGCGGAGGACCTGCTGCTGCTGCTGCTGCTGCTGCTGCTGCGACTGCTGCTGCGCGCGCCGCCGTCGCTCGAGCTCCACAGCCCGCTTCCCCGGGTCCCCACGATCCACCTCAGAAACTGGGACGAGGCGCCCATCGCAGGGGACTCAGTGCCTCCTGCCCTCCTTGGGGACTCCCGCGCCAGCCTGAAGGGGGTCCTGCCTAGAAGCCTCCGGGCAGGTGGGCCCCCAAAGCTATCTGTTGCTATTGCAGGTGCCAGGGACAACATTAGGGAGGGCCAGGCATGCTGCCAAAGGCCAGGCTTCACGCTTGAGGAAGAAATTGACTTGATGATGTGGATCATTTTCTGTATGGAAAGCTGGGGCCCAGAGGTTGCCTTGCCCGGTGTCACACCTCTAGGAAGCGGCAGGGGCTGGAGTTGGGGTGCCTTCTGACAGTCATTCTTGGTTTTCCTTTAGACTGCGTTCTTGGGGGAGCCCGTAGGCGCAGCAATGCCCACGAGCGGATGGAAGAAAATGCACCTGCAAGCATTGGGAAATGACTCTGCCTTTAGCAGAAAGGAGAATTTGGGGGGTGGGGAGAGCTTTCGGTTCAGCAGTTAAGACATTGCCTGGGACCCCTGCATTGCCCGCCGGACTGCTTGGTTCCAGCCCTGGCCCTCCTGCTTCTGGTTCACTCCCCAAGTGGCCACAATGGCTGGAGCTGAGCTGATCTGAAGTCAGGAGCCAGGAGTTTCTCCTGGGTCTCCCACACAGTGAAGGATCCCAAGGCTTTGGGCCATACCAGGCCACAAGCAGGGAGCTGGATGGGAAGTGGAGCAACCAGGCCGTGAACCAACACCCGTGTGGGATCCCAGCTGACCAACACATCTGACCCACAATTTTTTTTTTTTAGATTTATTTATTTTCATTACAAAGTCAGATATACAGAGAGGAGGAGAGACAGAAAGGAAGATCTTCTGTCCAATGATTCACTCCCCAAGTGACCGCAATGGCCGGTGCTGTGCCCATCCAAAGCCGGGAACCAGGAACCTCTTCCAGGTCTCCCACGTGGGTGCAGGGTCCCAAAGCCTTGGGCCGTCCTCAACTGCTTTCCCAGGCAACAAACAGGGAGCTGGATGGGAAGTGGAGCAGCTGGGATTAGAACCGGCGCCCATATGGGATCCTGGCGCATTCAAGGCGAGGACTTTAGCTGCTAGGCCATGCCTCTGGGCCCCCACAATTTTTTTTTTAAAGAAAACTTTTTTTTTTCTTCCAGGGTCCAGGTTCCTTGAGTTCCCCGCCATCCCAAGTCTGTAATCACTGACTTTTAAGGGGCCCCTGGCTACCCAGTTAGGGGTCCCTGAGGGGAATGCCCAAGAGGAGACACAGGATTTGCCAAACCCCTATCCTTGTTTACAATTCACAGTAGCTCTGGGAGACTTAAAACCACAGGCCAGTTCATGCCCAGGAAACAGGCTAAATCTGTTTGGATACCGCAAATCCCAAAACAGGACAGTAAGTGTGAGTGAAGAATTTCAGGTTACCAGACCACAGTATTTTTTAAAGAAAGCAACATGGTGAGGAGAAGCAAACCACGTATGCACTTTTTTTTTTCAATAAAATTACTCCCGAAGCGCCTCTGCCCACTTCCAAAGAGAAGGAATCAAGTTCGAGGCCAGAACAGTTTCATTGTATATATCTTTAATAACCTTAAAACACTGAACTATGTAAATGTATTCCATAGTTATAACCACACACAAGCCCAGGAACCCGAGGCTTGCGGAAGTTCATCACTTGGGAAAGTCACACTTGGACCAGTTGGGGTTTGTGTGGACGATCCGCCTGCAGAATCCGTGTTCTGGGGCTATTCCACACCCCTTACGGTCGCGGGGAGTCCCCTTGTCTACTCGGGAACATATTCGCTGGGTCCTGCCTTCTCCCCACTCTCCCAGCCCCGGGCACGACCCCTTCTCCTTCTGTCCAGGATCCTGCAGGATCTCGCGAATGCATCGCCCCCACTCCCTACCCCCAATCTGGCTTTGGCACGTTGCTCACTCACCCCACGGCCCTTGTGCATTTTCACTTAACTTACCTTCTTCTCCCACATTTGCTATTCCCGAGGTCGGGGACAGGCATTTAGTCGGCTCTGAGACCCGGGAGGCTCAGCCCGCGGGGGCGCGTGCCTTGGGGGGCTGCGTGCCAGGGAGCGCCTGGCGCCCGGCCAGCCGGCTGCTGCCCTCCAGTGGCGGCCGGGAGCGCGCGGCTCAGCCCTGAGGTCGCACCCACACGCATCGCTCACACGCACCTGGCGCCCGGTAGCCAACAGTGGTGCTTGTGTGAGGGACACCAGGAAGTGAGCCCTGTCACGTCTCATCCACGAATGCCCTCTTCCTGTAACCTGAACACCTGCGAGGTGCCGTCCCTCGGGAGCCCGCACTCTGGGGGCGCCCATGTTGCCTGCAAGTTTACTGTTTGGGGTTCCACCTCTCAGTTCTCATCCAGTGAGCGCCACTCTAGACAAACAAGGGGAAACAGCGTCACCGCATCCCACCGGCTTCCCCACCTTGGTTCCACTCCACGCTTAGCCTCACACACGGTTCTGGCACCCTGCGCCGCCCTCTCCCAAGCTCGGGCCGACCAAGATGGTTGGTAAAGAACTTTCCAGTGATAAGAGAACTGTCCTAATGACCTCAGCGTTGTCTTCTGCTAAACTACTGAGCCTGAGACCAGTTCCTGTGTGCAGGGGAAGGATTTAGGAGTTGGGGTGGGGAGGGTCGGGTAACGGGAAGGCACGCATGAGGAGAGGGGAGCAGCCTGAGGCTTTGAATGCACAAGGCCCCGTAAGAACCTGGCATGCATAGTCTGATCTCTCTCTCTCTCTCTCTCTTTAAAGACTTATTATTTGAAAGCGTTACAAAGAAAGGAGAGTTAGAGATTTCCATCCCCTGGTTCACTCTTCAAAGAACTAAGCTGTCAGAAGCCAGGAGCTTCTTCCAGATCTCTCAAGTGGAGCTTGGACCAACTTGTGGTGGCAGCTGGATTGAGAGTGAAGCAATGAAGATTTGAACTGGCGCCCATATGAGATGCTGGTGTCACAGGCAGAGAATAAACCTGATGTGCCACAGCGCCAGGTGCTGCCTCCCTCCTGTTCCCCGCCCCCCTTCTATTGAATAGGTTGATCTTGGCTTCCCCTGGAACTTTTCAGAAAAAAGACTGTGTGTCCAGTTCAGATTTGTTGAACCCAATCCTTGCTACAAACTTTCTTAACACTCACATTAATTCTATAAAGCAGGTGTTATTCTGTCAACATAGAAGGCAAGTTGAGACACACCAAGTGTGAGAATGAAAGGGACAAAATGAGGATGGCCAGTGGGGAAAGAGACTCTAACCGCATGTAGAGACCAAACCAAACCAAACAAAACAAAACAAGAGCCCAAAACCAGGGAACAAAGGGGGTTTTCCTCATCGTAACTGTAGTGGTTACCAAGAATAGCCCAAGCTGCCTATTGGCCACTGCTCACTTTGGGGCCACACATTTAGGAGAAGTAGCGTTCAGGGGCTCAAGTGCTTTGCTCGAGGTCTTTAAGGGAACTTTTCTTGAATGACTTACTGTCCAGATGTTGTCAGTCAGTTATCCCGATAAACCAGTGCATCAAGGCCCTGTGTAACTAGTTTCCCAGCTCATTTTTCTGCAGACGGCTTGTTTTCAGTGAACCCCAGTCTCATCCAGCTTTATTTCATACATTGGCGTCCACCCGAAAGGCATGGTGGCAGAAACACTAGGAGATCTTCCACCCACGGGTTCACTCCCACAAAGGCCTGCAAGAGCCAGGATTATGCCAGATCAAAGCCAGGATTCAGGAACTCTGTCCAGGTCTCCCACGTGGGCGGGAAGGCTCCACACACCTGAACTACCGCCCGCTGCCTCCCACAATGCATTAGTCAGAAGTTGAATGAGCAGCAGAGCAGTCAGGGCTCCAGGGAGAGCTCTTCTGATATGGCATGGCGATGCCCCAGGCAGGAGCTTAGCCCCTTGCACTGAAACGCCTGTCCCTCTTATCTGGCTTTCAATTCCCTTCCCAAGTTTCATATTTATTTTACATAGGCATGGGGAATTTGGGTCACTGCTATTAAAGTCTCAGTAGGGCGACCAACTGGACTGTTAGGCTCAGGCCCCAGACCTTCAAAGCTGTGATGGGCCAACTGGAACAGGTTGGTCACCCAGGTGCCTACCCCCATCCCCGATCTTCCTAGCACTAGTGTCCACATTCCCAATCATCGAGATGTGTGACATCATTTTCAAATGCCGTTCTCTCTGTATCTTTCACACATGCTCTTCCCGTATCTTCACACCTTCTCACCAGGCCCCATGAGAGCCTCACTTGGCAGCTTCCTGATATGTCCACAAACTTCCCTAGTAAGCATGCCTACCACCTCCTTGGGCAATCCCTCCAAGGTGTGTCGGGTGCCCAGCAGGCAAGGGGCTGTCCACCGGGGTGAGTCTGTGTGGACTTGGAAGGTTTACTGCTCCTTTACTACTCTGTCTCCTCTTGCGCTTTCTGCCTCCTTCACAGAATCCTCATTTTGCTTAGAGTAGCAGTCAGCCTCTGCCCAACCCCTGGAGCAAAGAAATCTGATATGGGGGTTGTGGGAGGCAGAAGCCTGATAGCTATCACATAGAGCGCATGCCAGGCAGGTGCACTGGGATCCCCCTTGCCCTGGGCTTGCCACTTTCCACCCATCAGAGAAGAGAGAGCTGGGCAGTGTCTGCTCTGCTTGCCTCCGCAGCAGACAGTCACCTCCTTATGACACCCAACCTTTCTACCCAGAAGGCTCCTGCTCATTCTCCGATATCCAGCTCACATACTTCCTGAGCATATCCTGGGAATGTACTCCTCTCTGTGTCC